TTAATCTCCATTCTGTACAGTATAGTTCCTTCCTAGAATAACAGAACAGTTGAAGTTGGCAAGAGTTACCCAGAGTAGTTGGTCCAGGCCTATGTCTACATGGCTTTGGAAGATCTCTCATTTATAAGACATTTGTCTTATAAATGAATTATCACCTGTAAAGTAGTTTATGGGGTGTCACTGAGTAGATAGGTATGAAACAGACATACATACATGCAGGTATTCATTGTAGGTACGATGGGACAGTTTGCACTTGTGTTAAATCTATCATTATATGATAGATTTGGAAAGATACAGGGGAAGGAAAATTATCATAATATTCAATCTACTTAACAGTGACAATGGGGTTATACAATAGTGTCTGCACAGCTGAATACAGCAACACAAATGCTATCCTCCATTTATCCTGTGAAATTGTTGTCATATCTTACCATAAATATTCAGGACTTCAGACTTCCATACATCATAAGAAAAAGAACAGCTGGTAGCTTGCAGTGTACTGTGATGACAGCTTTGAATATGCAATGAATAAACTGCTGAGGCAGTATTTCTGGGGAGCAAGTCAACTGAAAGACATACCCCTTCTGTAGACAATTGGCCTGCCACATATTTTAAGATACTGTTCCTAGACACTCAAAAATATGCCATGGGCACTGGAGATACAGTATTTTGCAAAACCTATGTGATCATGTTAGAAGTTGGGCACAAAGTCATCAAATTAGGCGAGAAGTTTGTAACCACCTTGTTAAAATAGATGTCAATAAAACACAAGGAGACAGTAATGTACAGAAATATTCAATGTAAAAAACTCAGTGTATTTTAAAATCATTTAAAAATCATTTTAACATATTTATTTAAACAGTTAAGTATATAAAAGTTCCTCCTTTTAAATTCTTTCTTGAAAAATTTAGTGATGTCAGTCTTACCTGCATTCATCCCAGTTACATCATGTTTCTCTATTCACAGTATAAAAATTGTCTTTCAGTTTGTCATCTGAAGCAGCCTTTCAGCTCACACTTTGTCATTTGTTTTATTAACCTCTCTCACTCTGTAGCCTTTTGATCAACTCCTTCATTTTTATGCATCCACTTTATTTCTCATTAGTGTCCATATCTCTGTCTCTTACTTAACACATATATAAGATTTTAATTTTCAGTTGTTTTGGACCTTTTTATTACTTAGAAGTAGTGTCACATTTGTGGCTCTAGAAGGTCTGCACTGATGCCTGATACCAGCTGACATGTAGCTAGGCTTTTCTGTTCAGTAGTGCAACAATCTTTAGTAAGACTGGATTGTATAAGAGATGTGTAGTGTAATACCCTGTTGTTCGGGTGCAATACTATCCCTGATCAAACTTCAGCAGGTCCAGGTAGGTAACTTCTCTTAGTCCTTTTCAAAGTGCCCCAGAACACAGCAGCATCTCAACTAAGCAATGATCAATACACAGTGTAAAGTTTTCTGTATGTTGAATAGTGGATGATGCAAAACTGTGTTCACCTACTGACATTTGACACAAAATATGTGTCATATATTGGTCACCTTCTAGTCTGAGTGTCAGCATACCAACTGGAATGCTTCATCTAGTACAGGTGGTTTCCAGGTGCATTCATTTCTTGTCAAAGCTCCTGTTCCTTTTCACATTAGTGAATTATTTAGGTTCACTGTATATATCACTCTAGCAGTATAATGATTCCAAGCCTTCTCATGCTGTTCATTTGTTTATTTGCAATATACTACATTTGTTTCTAATGCAAATTCTTGCTCCTTTTAAGTCCGTGTCGTTTTTCCTCTTACCTTGAAAATTCATGGATGACTCTCTTTTCTTCCTCTGCATGTAAATTTTGAGACATCAGAAAATTCTTCACTGGCTACAGCTAAGCTACAGTAGTGATTTTTCTAGTATGCTTTTTAAATCTGTATGCTATCTTTTCCTGTTAAGCATTCGGCTGACTTCTCAGTGTATTTTCTTTTTGTGATAAATAACTATTTTGTGCTAAGAAAAATCAAACTCAATTTTTGTCCAAGCACACCCATCGGTGCTGAGAAAATAGACGTATCTTGAGCCATTTTTGGATCAGCTGACTACTACTTGCAGTACTGTTCATCCCGTGAGTTTGTGAGTACTTCTCCTGTGGAGGGTTTTTACAGCTATTTGAAAATTTAACAGCCTTAGCCTTTCCAGCTTTTTTGATGTTTTGGGAGTCCTTGTCCCTTGAAGTCTTTGACTAGAATTCTTTTACAGCTCCCCAGCATAATTATTCACATAATATTATGCTACAGTAGCTCAAGTCTGATTATTTAAGTGGCTGAGTAGGATGTTTCATGAAAAATGTCTTCTATAAGCATAGCTTTGTACTTGACATTTCTGCTCATATATAAAAGCCATTAAACAAGACAGTAATTCTTCTCTTCGGGCTCAGTGCAGTTATTATCTGTGTGAGTAATCCTATTGACTACATAAGGACTTTCCATATCTGTCAAGATTGTAGGACTGGATTCCTGTCTTCCTATTTTGGAGACAATTTAAGCCCTGTTCAGCAGTAGCTGCTTGTGTCATGGAGCAGAATACATATCCTGTGCTAAGTGGTCAGATCCACATAGCTTATTGCTCATCCCTCTCCACTGAAAATCAGAAACCCATCCTGTTTTGTCCTCCTCATCACTTTTCCTGCAAATCAATGAATGTCAGAACATACTGTGAATAAGAATTAATAAAACAACACAATGTGATATATATATTTTTTTTAAGTGAATGCAAGAAATATGAGTTTGCTGCTATTCCAGTCACTTGCTTGGTTGTTTCACTAGCTGTAATAAAGGTTCAGAACTGTAATGAACTATTATGTAAGTAACAGGGAGCTTCTTTACTCGGTATTACCCTTGGAAAATCTATAGATTAGTTTTAAAGTATCATTTGTAAGTATCTGCCAATTGTCTTGCTATTTGAAGTCTGAGCTTTTTTTTGGTCTTCAGTCTGATTCACCTGAGGGGACTGCCATCTCTGTAAGCCATTCACTGTGTCAAGAGAAATGCTCGTGGAAGTTAATAAATGTAAGAGAATTAGAGAAAACCTGCATTTCCCCTGTGATTTCTGGGACTTCATTTCTTCTGCCCGTAAAGATTAAGGTTTTAATATTTACCATGCAAGTCCATCTTTATAAAAGGACATCTTGTTTTGATTATTTAGAACCTGGAGTCACAAAGGCTACCTTGTAATTAGGTATATGTTGGTAGAAATGGAAAATGTATTGTGGTAGTCAGAATCTCCAGGGGAAGGTTTCTTATAAAAAGTCTATTGAATTTATTCATATGTGAAAAGAACAGTCAATATCTGAGATATGCAATGTCAATAAAAGTGAAATGTATTAACATACAGTCTATGTTACAGAGCATGGCCCTGCCAGTTAGAATATTTCAGCTTTGTTTCACAAAGCTACTGTGTGCTTTTAAAAACATAATCTCTAACGGAAAATACAATTGATCTCTTAAAAACAGAACTCCCAGTCATAAGAATGAATAGTTTAATAAAAGGTTTAAGATAAGGTTTATATATATATATATATATGTTTTAGATTGCATATTAGAAATGAAAGGTGAAATATGTGTAATGTTTTTCATCACTGTGAATGTGGATGAGAGGATTGTTTTATGACATTCATGCTTGTGGGGATTCTCTGTCATCCCAATAGTGGCAAAATCTACCCAGCTGTCTGTTTGCTATTTTGGTTTGGATAAAAGATAGCATTTTAAGAAGTGATAAGGTAGAAAAAATATGGCAGAGCATTATTCCATTAACTCGATACCCTGTTAATAAACATCTAGCTTACTGAAATACTTCTCTGCATTAGCTTACTACCAAATCCTAGATCAGTGGCAAATAGTGGAATTTTTATTTGCCAGTCAATTCTTCAGGGTTTGTATTATCTGCTTCTATTGCCACTAACAAACCACCAATCATAATTCAGAAAGAAAATGGTTCCTGGGGAGATAAGTATCCCTTAGGGGCTGTAGTGCTACACGTAGCATAATATCCAGTTTCATGTCTATTCTCTGATGAGAAAGTTCTACCAGAAGCTTTCTACTTGCTGACAACACATTAGTAGAAATGTGTTCCTTTCATTGCCTAGCTGTAAAACTTCCAAGTCATGTATTGACACAAATTGGTGGAACAGTTGGATTGAACTTTCTTCAGTTTGTTACCTCCTTCCTATTCAGTGTAGATCTGTTTGTATTCCTGTTCAAGGAATCAGTGAACAACATCAAAATCCCAAGTGCTGTCAATGTGTTTACTTCATTAGAAATATCACTGTCTCATAGTGAAAAAAAATCACGCTTATAAATTTTAAATGCGCCTTCTATGAATATTTGCTAACACTAACTCTAACACTAACATCTCACTTGTTTTCTATACTGTTTGTGAAAAAGGATGAGTTAAAGTAATTCAAGTGAGTTTGAAATGTTTATTCATAGAATGATGGTAAATTACCGCTGTGAGCCAAATTTTAGGAGTTTCAGATGCTCCTGTGAAAAAAAGCAGATGTTTAACTCCCAGCAGTAGCTCTGTAGCTATTTACTTTTGTCTTTTTCTACCCTGCACCTGTGAGACTGAAATGAATTGAAGAGTTTTGCTCACATTCAAATGCGAGTTGTTTCACATTTTGTACAAGGACTTCATTAAACACATTTGCAAAGTCTCTTTCTTTCGCTGTGGATCTATTTAGTGATTAACAGAATTTGTTTATAGAAAGGGAATTTTTAGAAGGCTGTCTACCATGCCTTACAGAGCTGTTCCTATCACACTGCCTGTTTCTCAGAGGGTCAATAAGGATACATGTTGTTTGCAATAAAGGTAACTGTGAACGTGCCTGCGTTCACTTGCACACGCACACAGTCCTAATATCTTCATTATTGTTTTTCCATGTACATTGCCAATCTTTCCCATTTTTCAAGCACAGCATGATGATTCCTGTCATCCACTGTTTGTTTCACTTGCTCTTCAGGTCTCCTGTGATGGCTGGAGGTCTATTTGCCGTTAACCGGAAGTGGTTTTGGGAGCTGGGAGGCTACGATCCAGGATTAGAAATATGGGGAGGAGAGCAGTATGAAATCTCCTTTAAGGTAAGACATCATGTCTTATGTAATACTTATGTACTATGTAATACTTCTTCACTTGTTAGGTTTTGTGCCTCTGGATTTTCATTTCTTTATGCTTTATGGTCCTGGTAAGTTCACTAATACTTAATTTTGTGTTTTAACTACAAAGAATTTAGTACAGTTCTTTTTCTTCAGGAATTTCTCCAAATTTCAAACAGAACTATGCCATAAACGTGTGCTTCAAAAACTATACAAAAATCACTGAGTGCAGTTTTCTCCAAGTGGTAGAAGTTTACTGCCATCGTGAAGCTTTACTTTGTCCCTTGTATCAAGTCTTCTCTACTTACCTTCCATCAGATGTTGCACCTACTGAACTCCATCATGTTGAGGGTAGGCCCTTATAGGGTCAGCTCATGGAAAGAAAAAAAGAAAGTCATAGGAAGGAGAACTCTTTTTCAACACATTCACTAGATAACCTTAGTTCTTATGAGCTGTTATTGGCAGGCTGGGTTTTCAAAATCAGTTGATTTTTTTAATTGTGTTTGGATAGTTAAATTGATAAAATTGTAATGTCAGAGAGTTTTCAAGTGCTAAGGTTATGTACAATCAGCAATCTTACATCCTCTATGTGGACATGTGTATTCAAATCAGTTGTTTGGCTTTTACATGCTGAGTTCAAAGTCACTACCTTTTGTTACCTTTTACATGTCAGACAGGTATTTCCATTAGTTTAATGAGGTCTACATGCATAATTTTGAAAATTCATTTTCTTTTGTTCCAGTTTACCCAAAATTAAGAACTTTACCTAATGCAAATGTTTTCAATTAGCTAATACAATTTCATTATATAAATGAATTGAGTCAAACATGTATGGATAAAGTTTGGATTTTTAATCAGAATTTACATTAAGCTTCAGGATCTTTCCATCCTGCTTCCAAACTCCTACAGCGTAAAGCTCAGTAAATAAATTTAGTATGTCAATCATACTAAAGCATATCGTACATATTGCTTCATCTGAATTTCTGCAGTGATTAAAATGACAGAGCTACTGCCATTCTATTGAATGAAACATACACCATGATCCTACACTGGACTCCCAGACTGTCTTTATTATGAGAGTTATCAAAACTAGAAAAATTGTTTGTATTAACTGAACTACTCTCTAAATCATTTTTACACACAGCAAAATAAAATTGGAAGGCAAGGGAAATCCAATAGTTAGAAATCATGTTTAGAATATATCAATTTACATTCTATCCAGATAAGTCATTTCAAAGTCAAATGTAAGTATTCATTTGCAGCTGTAACAAGAGTTTCTGACAGGTCACCTAAGATTTTATTATCCTATTCTGTATATTCTCTATATTTGTCATCACAAAGAATAAAATTGTAATGCAGTCCAGTCTTTGTGTAGAAACCATGGTAACAGCACTAGAAACTGAGATACTGGAGTACCCCAGTATGTTTTGCTTAAGCAATAGATTTTTTCTGTAGCCAGCTGTGTCACACTGGGTCTCATTTCAGTCAGATCTTCTGAATCATCCCATTAGTACACACTAACCTTAGCGTCCCTGTCTTTTTAATTAATATTAAAAAAGAAGAAAGAGAGGGATTGCCTAATAGAAGCAGCTTTATACTGGAAGAACTCAACCTATGCAAGCTTCAGAAAGAATGACTTGTTTTGTTTGGAATGACAGAAAATGGAAGAAAAATCAATGGGGCAGGAGAGAGAGATGGGACAGAGTTTTTTGTTAGACCAGAATCATCAGTATCAGCTTGGGTTGGTGCATCAACAATTTCTACATCAAGAGCTACAAATTCAGTCATCTTGAAACATTTTGAAGTGACAACAAATTATTCAGTTTAATTTACTATTCTATTTACAAACTTGAGAGATTGATGGACTTGCCATCTCTGTTATTCATAAAGTCAGTGAAGAAAACAGATTACCAGCGTGTGTGAGACCTTTACTCGAGTGCAGGGGAAACTATATCTTAGAGTCCTTAGGACAACCAGTGGTATGGTTTGTGGAAGTGTTGTATCGTGAGTGCTTTGCATCCATACCACTATTTAGTATTAATGCTATTTTGTTTGGCAAATAATTATTTGGAGCACAGTGCTGCAATAAACTCTCTCCAGAATATCTATAAACACCAGTTCCCAGTCATTTCTTCAATTCAATTAGATCTTAAGTATTCTGTGAAAATATGTTTTTTCCATTAAAAGCTGCAGAAAGAAGCCAACTAGAATGTCCCATAACTATACAAAGTTCATCTTCAAAGGACTATTTCAGGCCGGTCTTTAAACTCGGTAATGGACTTGGTGTTCCTTTCATGTTCTTCACATCATCTTGTTTTTAACTTTCAGATTATTTTTTATGAAAGTTGCTACATAACTGTAAACAAGCAAATGACCCAGCTACTATAAATGGATACCTTACGTGATAATATGACCTTCTCTGTGTCAGACTTGGGATCCTTTTGATTAATTCAAATACAGTGACATAATTATGAGAGAGAGCATGACAGAGAGAGCTGTCACAGACTCTCTAGAAGGAAGCAGTGTCTGGTTCACACTGAACTAACAGCCTATGTCAGCTTCATGAAGTTCAACACAGACAAGTGCAAGGTCCTGCACCTGGATCAGGGCCATCCCAAGCACAAATACAGGCTAGGTGGAGAATTGAGAGCAGCCCTGTGGAGAAGGATTTGAGGGTATCAGTTGATGAAAGACTCAACATGAGCCAGCAATGTGCTCTTACATCCTAGAAGGCCAACCGTATCCTGAGTTACATCAAGAGAAATGTGACTAACCAGTCAGGGGATTCTGTCCCTCTATTCAGATCTTGTGAGACCCCAGGTGGAGTATTGCATCCAGTTTTGGAGCCTCCGACACAAGAAGGACATCAAGCTGTTGGAGAGGGTTCAGAGGAGGGCCACAAAGATGATCAGAGAGCTGGAGCACCTACACTCTAAGGATGGGCTGAGAGAGCTGGAGCTCTTCAGCTTGGAGAAGGCTTCAGGGGGATCTTATAGCAGCCTTTCAGTACTTAAAGAGGGCCCACAAGGAAGCTGTGGAGGGGCTTTTTAGAAGGGCGTGTAGCAACAGGATGAGGAGAAATCGATTTAAACTTGAAGAGGGTAAATTTACCCTAGATATAAGGAAGAAATTATTTACTTGAGGGTGTTGAGACATTAGAACAAGTTGCCCAGAGTTGTTGTGGTTGCCCCCTCTCTGGAAGCATTCAAGACCAGTCTGGATGGGGCTTTGAGCAACCTGATCTAGTGGGAGGTGTCTTTTCTAACCCACATACCAAAGGGAAAAGATTACTTGATATTAAGATCATATTCAGGAAAGGCATCTTTGCGCCCAAAGGTCTCTGTGTTACTGTACCATGGTTATCCAGAGTCACCCCACAACCCAAATGAGAGAAGTGTTGGCTACAAAGCAGGTGTGTAGCTGTGAGTGCAGAGTATGGGCTTGGACAGCTGGAGAAGTTGGATGTTTGAGAAATGCATAATGGCCACATCAGTGCTAGTATCAGGACTCAGTTAAATAGTCCTCAATTAAATGGCCTCAAGTCCTTCAATCTAAGGCTTCATCCACTTCTTCATCGCAATCTTAGTATCAGCTACTCTGCTATGTGTATCGAAGGCTGGTGCAAGAGTCATCAGGCACATGCTAACGCTGGCAAACCATATGGCTTTATGAATTTAAGATGCTAAGGCAGAGATTGAAGACTGGTTAAAAAAAACGTATAGTAAAATTATAACAGGACAAGTGGTTGAACGGGGAGTCAGACTGCAGTTAATGACACAAAGAGGTTGAAACACATTTAGGAAAGGTTCTCCCTCTTGGAGGGACAGTGTCTGTTTTGATGTTTCTTACTGGCTGTTTCATTAGATGTGACCTGGGATAAGGCACGAGGATTCGATGCAGAGCAGTCCTAACCAAAAGTCTTTTTCTGTGGGGGGAAGTTGCGTTATCTCACTACACATGGACAGAAGGTTGAGAAAAAATTTGGTTTTGTGTGTTCTCTAGAAGAGCAAAAGATTCTACAGAGTGAATCTACACTGAAGCTAAATTTACAGCACAGTAATTCATTAAGTTTCTCCAAAATACAGTAAGCCTCCTAATGTTTCTGTGATATTTGGATCCATGTAGTAGCATGAAAGGAAACTTTCCCAAACTTCAAACAAACTTCTATTCCAGGTGCTGAGTTGTTAAGAGCACAGCTTTCTGTTTTGTTCTGCTTAACAAAAAGGCTGCTTATTAAGTTTGCCTGACCTTTATTTCCTCAGGGAAACCAATGTATTTCTGTCTTGTTCTTGCCTAGTAACATTACTGTGGAGGACAGCAGCAATTGTAGAACTGGGTTCTGCATTGATGGACTGCTGTTTCCAAATCAGAGCATTCATGCACAAATCCATGGATGCTGAAGCAGTCACAACCTGTGTCTCAAAATATGACCCCTTCATTAAAAAGTTTCTTAGATTAATTTTTGCAAAAGAAATAATGTGCAGTATTTTAATTTTTTTTTGGCAGCATAACCTCAGGATCAATTTTTTAATTAAAAAGATGTATGGTGTCTTGCTGATGATACTGTTCAGGGTATGCTTAACTTGAGAAAACTGTCAAAGCACTGGAACTGACCTGATGAATAGTTTCCTTTCTCATTAACCAGGGAAGTCACTATTTAGGAAATCCTAAATTTAAATCTGTTAGAAAGGCACAGTTTATGTAGTAATTTCCAAAATATATTGAGTGGTGAAAGATATTCATTTCCTGTGTTTGCTGAAGATCCTTTATGCTAGACATTCCTTAGGCATACACATAAATCATACCTTAACAGAAATGCTCATGCTGATACCCTTACCTCATTGAAGCCAGTCACCTATCTCTAAGGTTTTATCCTTATGCATGCTGACGTATCCTCCAGATTCTATTTATCCCTTTTTTTTTTTTTTCCAACACACACCTCCAAGTTTATTAATCCCTTTCTTTATTCTCATTGCTGTTACTTC